TGGTAAAGGTAGATCGATTTTGGAGATATTGCATTTTTTTATTTGTACGTTAACCCTTTGAGGACGATGGATTCATATGTACATTCGCGAAAAATGACAAATTCACTCGTATATATTTTTAGGCAAGAAGAATATTTTACGTGTCAAATATAATTTCGGTATGATTTGGTGTAAGAAAAGGGTCGAAAGGTTAATAATTCTAGCTACTTGTCTTATACACTGCAAAATAGATAATAACTCATACCTACGCTAATCATTTTACGGAGTCGTAGAATTAAAAAAGAATTGGGGACATCGAAAGTGTATTAAATAGGATTGTACTAAAATTGGTTAATCTATACCCATTTTATCCTCTCTCTCTGTCTCTCTATGTTCACAGGTTGAAGCTCGAGTGCGAGAAACTGGCCACGGAGAAGATCGAGATTCAGCGGCATTACGTGATGGTAAGGAATTACCATTCCGTAACACTAATTCCGGTTTAAGTCCATGCTTCCTGTCTGCCTCTCTCTCTGTCCCCGAAAGTTTCTGTTTCCCTCTCTCTCTCTTTCACTCTTAGTCTCTGTCCTTTGCATCTCTATCTCTCCCTCGTTTTCCGTATCCAGGATAATCATGCTTGCTCGACCGCTAAACCACCTCGGCTTCTTAGCATTAATTGCATCCTCGCCGCACCGACTTTACATTGGCCTGTTACACCGCGCACATTCCCTCGGTTCAGGTACACGATCACGCACACAGAGGCACGGCCACGTGTGCACGTGTACCTGTATATTTATCTTGCGCACCTACTGTGCATAGCTAATGACTCTAAGACGCAGCGGTTCTCATCGATTTTCTTGGGAAATTGCCCGGTCCGACGCTCGAACAACCGTCTTCCAATATTTAACAATAATTATACAATTAAATTGTGGCAAAGGCGATTTACTTTATTTGTGGAGCAAAGGAACACTTTTTAAAACCTGTGACCTGTGCTTTTGGATTTTCAGTCGTTAACGTTAATTGTTTGACATTGTACCCCATATAGTAACAGTGATATTTGTAGTTTTTCACGGACTTTATTAACGTTCAACTATTTCCGAAGTGAAAATACAAAAAAAAAAAGCTTACTTGACACTAGAACGACCTTTCGGGTCAAAACGACCCATTAGCAATTTTCCAAAACAAGTGAATATTCGATTCTGGTAATTGTAACCTTCCGACATTATTTCCTGCGTGAACACTTCCACTTCCGTCGATACGAGTCTAATTTTTCCTACACCTTTTAAAAATTCACTTCTGGAAAGTCTGGAAAAATCTTAATTCCCCCCCCTCACGAAAGAAAAAAATTCAAGAAAAATTCGTAGAACCATTGAAAAGTGAACCGTTAACAGCAAGGTATAAGTGTTGTCGCGTCTCGAATCCGTCGAAAGAAAAGAAGCAACGGTAAATGACAAAGTAACACGAGCTATGTAACGCGAGCAACGTTGAAGGATAATGTAGTTGGCCTGGTTCGCCGGTATCCGAATGCTTTCCAACGATCGGCTGCCGTAAACCAGTCTAATTATACCGATCCGCGTGTCCCGTGAGGAAATCCGAGCGCGCGGCGCACGCAAGATGGGATTTATTGCCGGGCGTTTTCATGGTAAATGCCCCACAGTTAACCCTCTCGCAAAATTGGACTGGCTGCGTGTGAGAGTAGAGCGGAAAGGGGAGTGGGTGTGGGAAGGTTTTAAACGGAGGTTGGGGCGTGGCGTGGGGGAGAGTTTATCGCGGACTCGGTGACATAATTAATCGACGCTGATATCGCGCGGCTATCGTTTATTCCGCGGGCTCTTTGCGGAAAAAGTCAATTGCCGTCTCTTTCGCGTTAATTTAAGTCCCACCGTGTGTTTCCTGCACGGCGGAAGTCGCGCGAGGAATTTCTTGCGGCTCGTAGCAGTATAACGCGTTAAGATGGCTTTGTGGACGTACCTCGATCTTCGAGAAGTTTCTTTCACGAGTGGTTGTAATTGCGATTTTTTCCCCTTTCGGCGATATTACACGTTACCGGGGAAAAACTTCCATTCCCTTGCAATTTTCACGGTAGGGTAGGTTGTATTTTATTCGATGAAAATCCTATTTCGTTGGATCTTTCTCTTTCGTACTTCTCGAAGTAGGTAGGTATGTAATTTTAACACACGCAGAGGCACCGTAAATTTGCATATTCGCATTAAATTACTTTTCTCGTGTCGTTGTAAAACCGATATCACAGAAGCGCCTTTCGCGCGCAAAACGATCTCGCCGCGACATCGTTGCTAACGATCTCCACGAAAGATAAATGAAAAAGCAAGAGGAGTCGACACTCGTGTAATTTAATTGGACCGATTACATCTCGCACTTTTCCATCTTACATCGTCCTCTCTCTGTGTGTGTATAGGTATGCATTAGGTATGAAGAAAAACGGCGCGAATAAATGCGTCGTGTCGTTCGGAGACGTACGTATATCGGGTTCGATACTAATTTATCGTTGTCCCCTTATACATACATATACATACGTAGAGCATGGCGTGGCGGTTCTCTGGCTTCGGTCCTGTTTTTCCTCGGACACTCTCAGCTCAGATACGAGGGAGTGTCTCCCCTCGATCCTTTCTTGCTGTTCTTGCACGGGGCGTTGTACAGTCTTAATTGGCGCGGAGGCGACTAGTTTAAACACGATTAATCAAGCGAACGAGCCAACACGGCCGCCGCCGCCGCCGACGCTGGAGGAAGTCGACGTAGATAGAGAGAGACTCCGTGGAGATTTATCGACACGAGCCAGCCGCTTTGCTCCTCGCGAGACTCTCTCCCCGAGACATGTCCTGTCTCATAATTCCTGTTACCGTGGAATGTAGATTTCGCTGCCCCTGGGACGTTATTATTGCGTGTAACGTGCGCTAAACGCATTGTTCACCGCTAACGATACCGGATTCTATGAACTGCCCTCGTAAATATCGCTGAATATACCGGTACACCGTTCCACGTATTAGTATATACGCGAAACCTTTCACCCTTCTTATTAATGCTTCTACTTTACTTCGTTACGTTTATGGTTTACCATTAGGACAATTTTCAAGGGGTTAACTCGTTCGAGGCTCCTTACGGTGATATACGAACTGTGACTAATTGGAATTCATTTGCAACTGTGGATCTTTCGTTTCGTCTCGTTTTGTCCATTGAAATGTTTGGAATAAACCTAATTCAGATGTGTATGATCTTCTATCGTAACGTATAATATTACGATTCTGTAGGTTTCCTGAAACTTGTATTATTATCCCAGCAAAGGTAGCCGACAGATTTAATTAAATTCTCCGAA